CATAGGCAGGAAAGGAGAGAAGCAATAGCATTGAAGGGATTTGCTCAGTGTGTCCTGGCACTTGAGTCTCTTTTAACATCAAAGCTCAGGTGGTTCAAATGAGAGTCAGACTATCTCTGCCTGTTGCCTTAAGAGTAAATTCAGAGTCTTCAAACCAGGCTTATTGGAATATTACATACCCTTGCCAAGACATTTATATTTTTATTGGAAGTTCAGAGCAAATCGTAGTAGGGACCCACCATTTTTTCTGCACCATTCCTTTTGGCTATTTTCTCAGTATTTGAAAACCAATGGAATTTGACTTTAACATGCACATTGGCTTATAATGTTACTGTTGCATAGGTCTTAGTGATCTTCCAGTCCAGTGTTTTTGTGCTAGAGGTAAGGAAACTGAAGTTCAGAGTGAATCAGGCATTGCCAGGGTCACCAGACTAATCCAGGACAGAACCGAGCCAAAACATCATTGCTATGGAGCCTCTCTTTGGGTCTCAATCGTTGGGTACTATATAATGACTGATGATTGGGGACAAGGGCATAGGTTGCCCTTTTCCTTAGTATGATGAAGGATCAGGATTCTATAACATTGATAAGTGATTAGGGTATTAATATGGAACCACAAAATGTGGTTCAACTCTGTCCTGTGGCCTCTCCATACAGCAAAGACAGATGGCTGGTTCAGAAAACTGGTTTTGTTGTTTGCATACAACAAAGGTAGCATCTGGTGCAAGTTTTATTTTTTTTTTAATGATTCCAGTGTCTTGTTTTTAATGATTTAATAGAAAGAACCTTAAAACTCATCTTTTCAGAATATCAATTTAGAATGTTACCAAAGTGTTCACAGAGCCTAATTAAATACTCGGTGGTTTCATATAGCTACAAGTAAAAGCTGCTTTGAATCCTTCCTAAACTCATATTGGTTTATTTGGTGAATTGTGTTTTAACATCAAGAAAGTAAGATCGTTGGCTTTTCTGCAGAATGGTGATCTATTACCTTAAACAATGTGGTCAGACCACATCAATTCACTTGCAGATTTCTTCCTCTCTCTATCATGTGCACATGCCACCATAGGTATAAACTAATTTAAATATATATGAATTATTTAGTTTGTTAAATCCAAGTTGCTTTTGAAGAAAATTTGCTGCTCTTAGATTATGATTATTTACAGTTTGTTGAGTGATTTCATTTTGTAGGCATAGACTTTTTATTGTGATTCTGATTATTTATAGTAATAGCAATTATCAAATAAACTAATGTGGTGATTACAGATTTTTGGATATCTATTACTATTTATTGGGAACATTTTTTTCACTACCAGAATGGGCGAAAAAAGCCACAAAAGCAGTAAATCCCATTGCTTTCCAAGTGTCATTGTAAATCCTGCTGATAAAAACTGCACATTTTAGCAATGTTTAATAAGCACTTTAAAAATTGACAACTGTCTTAAACAGATTTTGAAGTTGCTCCATTGTACCTATTTCCAGATTAAGAAAAATCATTTGTGGAAACCAAGTTGATCCTAAGTTCCTAGTCACGGGGAGAAGATGGGATTTTGTAAACCTGCAGAGCCTGAATTTGTTATTGCATGCAGCTGTGCAAATTTGCAAACATTTCCTTCCCTAGTCAGGACCCTGTGGAAGGAGCCAGTTTGGACTACTGCCTTGATAGCTAACATTTGTAGAGGCTGCAGTGCAGGAAGCTACTGGGATATTTGAACTTTGTCATCTATTTTAATCTGGGCATTAGATGCCAGGTAGAGAGAGTATGCAAGTCAATTACTTCTATTTCAATGTCGTGGTAGGGATATATCAGTAGCCTTATTATTCTGGTCATTCTCAGTGAATTTCAGAATGCTGCTTAAAATGGGCTTTCTGTATGTGTTGAGCGTGTGTTCAGTGGGATGTCTGAGAAGGAAGATAGAGGAGGGCTAAGGCCTGGGTCTCCTAAAACACATGATTATTTTATTGACCTAATCAGTGAGAGAAAGACAAAGCCTTCTGGTTTCTACAAGCACTGTACTTGCATTTATTTGTTTTCATTCCATCCTTTGGAACTAGAGAAGGCATGAGGACTATCCATGAGCAGGTTCACACTCAAAGCTGGGATAGATGGTCTTACCCTGGTTGCTATGGCAATGTTGTCCTAGCATAGGGGATACTTGCCCATGTTTGTTGCTGTCTCCTCTCTATCTTTGGCAGTTTAGCACAAGAGGCAACCCCCTCATGCAACTACAAAGCATTTATTGAGTTAGGGATTCTTCATTTTGAGTTACAGTTTGCTCTCTAGTATATTTTTGGGAGGACAAATGGGCAGGAAAAATTAAGTCACAGAAGGAGATAAGCTTCATCACTCTAATGGAGTTGAATTTACATTTGCCATTAAAAATAGCTATAGGTTATTTAATTAGAATCCTAGAGGCAGATAACGAATTAGTTTATCTTTCAAATGGTACTCATAAAAGATAGGGCAGTGTGTGTGTGTGTGTATGTGTGTGTGTGTGTTTAAAAGAGCCTAATTTCTTGTTAAAATTTAAAGTTCAAACAACCCCTTATTTGTAAATTGGTGATAGAGACAATTCTATAATGTTGTGATAATTAAATGAGCTAATACATGTCATGTGCTTAGAATAGTGCCTGAAATATAATGAGCCCAGTAAATGTTCAGTATTATTATTATCATTACTTTTATATTACAGCATCCTGGGTGTTTAATGCTAATGATGGCTCACTGAGCAGATATTAAACATACTAACCGATTTCCAAGTATTTTTCTAAATCTGCCTCAAGGAGCTCGCCAGCTAGTGGGGAGACAAAAAGTAGAAAGAAGCAGTTGTTTGAAAGAGAGGCATGGTCAACATATCCTGGGAAACCTCTGAGCCTGTGCACTCCAGCCCTGTGGACCAGCAAGAGAGGTTTCTAGAAGAGGTGGCATTGAGATGATGGTCATTGATGGCTGCTCCCAGATGTGTGGATATGGGAGCAAGGAGACAGGGGAACCTCACTTCCAGGAGTGCCAGCCAACGTAGAGCAGTGAGAGAAGATTTCTGTAAGAGGTGGCATTGAGGTGACGGTCACTGATGGCTGCTCCCGGATGTTTGGGATACAGCAGCAGGGAGAACCTCACTTCAGAAGTGCCTTGAGTTGGTTATTTGGACAGATAGGGTGTTCGATGGCCTGGGTCTGTCAGATATTCTCAGCTGCCCAAGGTCGGTGCTTAATTATCTCCTCTCCTTACAATACACTGCTTTATAATCTCCATGGCTGTAGGGGTTTTATTCCATAACAATTTTGTAGCAAAAACTTCTTAATCGAATCATTCTTTTGGAAAGTGGTGGTTCTGAAAATCATGAGAATTAAGGCATCTTAAATTACTGCCCACTTTATAGATGGAACCACTAATTTCTCATTATTCTGCCAGATCCAAGCAAATCTCAGAACAGAATTTGTCCCAGACTAATTGAATAACCTTGAATTCAGTAGTTATACTCATGGCTAAATTGATTATTTTTCTCCTCTTTATCACTCAGACACAATCACTTTTAGAGGTTCTTCAGACTGATTTACAATTAACTCCTTAGCACATCTTTGGAAGGTCAAATAAGCAGGAAAAATTAACTCACAGGAGACAAGCTTCTTTGTAACCTCCCAAGAAACAAATAACAAACTCACTTCTAAGTAAGTTCTGAAGAAGCAAATAACTATTCTAACTTCTGTCGGATGGTTTTTAAAAAATATGTTTTAATTTACTTTTTATTTTATAGATATAGAGGGTAGACATACTTTCTTACATGGATATATTGTATAGTGGTGAAATCTGGACTTTTAACAGGATAGTTTTGATTTAGAGACATTAGCTGACTTAATCACCGGACAACACTTTCTTTATTTTGCAAATTCTCCTTAACACCCCTACCACTCCCCGAGCTGTTTTGATTTGTTTAGCTCCCTGTTGTGACTCCAGACATTGCCAAAGGTCCCCTAGGAGACACAACTATACCTGGTTAAGAACCACTCATCTAGAGGAAAGCGGTTTGGTAAAGGCCGGGTGCAGTGACTCACGCCTGTGATCCCAGCACTTTGGGTGGCTGAGGCGGGCGGATCACAAGGTCAGGAGATCAAGACAATCCTGGCCAACATGGTGAAACCCTGTCTCTACTAAAATACAAAAAATTAGCTGGGCATGCTGGTGCCCGGCTGTAGTCCCAGCTACTCAGGAGGCTGAGGCAGGGGAATCGCTTGAACCCGGGAGGCAGTGATTGCAGTGAGCCGAGATTGCGCCACTGCACTCCAGCCTGGCGACAGAGCGAGACTCTGTCTCAAAAAAAAAAAAAAAAAGAAAGAAAGAAAGAAAAATCCTTATAAAATGGAATTAGCTGAACTGTGCCAATGCCAGAGTGACAAGGGAAGGGTCTGAGTTGGGAGTCACTGTACACAAAGGCTCAGCCCTAGAAAGAAGGTAAAAGGAAGACATGCAGAGAGAGGTGTTCTCAAGTTCTAGCCTCCATCTAGCAGAGTGCCCCTATGACACTTGCCTGGTGTTGCTCTCCTGTTACTCTCAGAGTGGTGAATCGAGGATGAAGGCTTGTCTTGGAGGCAGCAAAGAACAGTGTCTGGGGATATCAGGTAGGAGAAGGCAAAGATCATTGAAGGGTCGGGTCGCAATCAGATCAGGTGGCTACATTGTCAGAGTGATGCACTGATAAATGACAGACATGGGCCGGGCACGGTGGCTCACACCTGTAATCCTAGCACTTTGGGAGGCTGAGGTGGGCAGATCACTTGAGGTCAGGAGTTCAAGACCAATCTGGCCAACATGGTGAAAACCCGTTTCTACTAAAAATACAAAAATTAGCTGGGTGTGCTTGCTCACTCTTGTAATCCCAGTTACTTGGGAGGCTGAGGCTAGAGGATCGCTTGAACCCAGGAGGTGAAAGTTGCAGTGAGCCAAGATCATACCACTGCTCTCCAGCCTGGGTGACAGAGCTAGACTGTGTCTCAAAAAAAAAAAAAAAAAAAAAAAAAAAGACAAACATGATGTACTTCAGTGCCTGTGGCATCAAAAACTTCTATGTCATATCTAAATTTTGTATCACTCCTGCTTCCAACTGGGTAGTGTTCTCTTTGGGAGTCTACAGAGGCAGGACAAAGTTCTCTTTCTCATCATAAGAATTGTAGCCAACATTTATTGAGCTTAGGACTCATTAACATGAAAAGACTCAGAGCATGATATTAGTACATTTTATAGACGGGTGTACTGAGCCATAGAGAGGCCAAAAAAATTGTCCAAGTTTCCACAGCAGATAGGCAGTGGTCATGATTGTGAATCAAATGGTTTGGTTATGGAGGCTGCACCCCCTACCACCACACTGGAAAGCCATCTTTGTGCTTCTGTAGACACTAAACTGACACTCCCAGAGCCTGCATGTTCCATGGCCAAATATGAAGCATGGAAAATTATTTGGAGAGGCAAACAAAATTTGGCTGTTCGAAGGAATTGAGATTTTAGTATTGTTCATTTTTTAAATTAACAGTAAAGTGAATTCTGGGTGCTATGGTGTTTTTTGTTGACCGTAGGACAATGATATTTGCAAATAGGCTTTATTGATTTAGATTTTGTGATAGAGGATTCAAGTGTGATTTATTGAGGTAAATGTTTTGAACCCAAATGATCGCTCCTTTCTTCTCTCTTCAACTCCTCACGACTCCCAGCCCAATCTTATTCCTCCATAATTATTTATCATCTGGAAGAGTCAGGTGTTTCAAATGAGGCCAGCATGGACTTTTCCCAACAGGGATGTATTTTTTAATATCTAAATGTCAGCCTATGGCCCTTGCTGATAAGGCTCCAGATCAAATAGGGGCAAAAGGAATTGAAAGCCAAATCGCAAAAATAAGTAAAAACTCCAGCTAACAAGAATTTCACAACAGACATAAGCTGATGACTATTTTATTAAAGCAATGTGGAGTACTAATAAATGCCACTGTGTTCTGGAAATGTAGGAAATTGGTTGAAGTCATTTTTCTCTTGTTAGTCTCATGTTAAGCTGTTCATAGCAGGATCTCTTGGGTTATTTTTTCTCAATTAATACAGTTGTCTACTAATTTATTTTCTTTTTAAAAGTCTTGGCCTTAAACTCAATTTTGGTAGTTTCAGCTATTGTTTACTACCAAAGGAAGAACTTCAGATTTAGAGAAAAGTCTGTATTTTTATTTTGTGTGGAATTGAGAAAGGAGATGGTAAACTTGACATTGCTTGCAAATGAAATGCACAGCTTGATCATTTTTTTCTTGATATAATTTTTGTTTTGGAAGAACTGTAGTATGTCTTGGTGGTGATAATGAATACCATAACCACATAATCATTCTCTAAATGATTGTAATGGAAAGAAGTTTTATTTAAAATTTCAAGTTACTCAAATGGCACATATCTCCACATGTGTCTTTTTACTACAGGTAAACCCAGAAGGCATGCGTGATTATGGGTGTGTGAGTGTGTGTAACATGAATGTGTGCCTGCCTCTATGTTATGTTGCACTATTAGTTTGAACCACAAAATAGAAAAGAATGTAAATATCTTCTGAAGTCTGGATACACCTGAACTCTGGATTTATCTGTTCTAAATGAAAACTAGAGGGGAAACCATTTTAGTATGTGAAGTTTGGCCTGAGGAAAAGAATGGCACATCTACAGTTCTTAGAAAATTCTCATACAAGATCAGGATTACTGGCATGCTTGGGGAACAACTTGCTGTGGGTAGTTGAGATTTTCAGTTTCAACCAGCAAATCTGTTTTGTTTCATCTTTTGTTTAAAATATTTGAATTAATAAGAATTATTTTTCAACTTCAAGAAGTAGTACATAGAGCAATGCTGTCTGATAAAACTGAGTGGTGATGGAAATATTCTGTATCTGTGTTGTCCAGTATGGTAGCCATTAGCCTCATGTGACTACTTAGCACTTAAAATGTGTCTACTATGACTAAGGAATTGAATTTTATTTAATTTTAATTTATTTACATTTAAATAGCCACATAGGACAGGGCTACCATATTTGACAGTGCAAGTATAGAGTATAATTACCAGTTAATGCATGTCTCTGGTTTGAAACATTCCACTGTATTATCACACTGCATATCTGAATTTTGATTTGGAAACTGTGGCTGAATGCTGGGATAGATTCCAGCTCTGCCAACAGGAAAGGAGTGGTGAGGAAAGCTGTTGGACAGCTAGCCAAGGATATTTGCCATGTTTGCCAGAGTATTTTGACTGTACTTCTGTCATAGTATTAATACCATTTGGACTTTTTAATCGTTATTTGTGGGCTTATTTTATCCCTTTGGTAGATTCTAGATTCCTTAAGGATGGGGCCTTACTATTTTCACCAGCACATGGAATAGTGCCTTGCCCTACAGTGTGCTTAATAAATATTGACTCAATTGATTAGAAGTGGTCCATACCAATTGATTAAGCTTTTCTACCTTTAAAAAATTGAATCTAAATTCTTTAAAATCAAGTTATTTGTTTGAATATTGACACCCTCCCAGTAAAGTTATGTTTATTCATTCCAGAAAATGATTAAGTGACCTTAATCATAAAGGTACTGGAATAAAGTTACCATGGGTTTGTGCAATATAAACCCTGCAAAGACTGTTTACAATTCTGTGTGGGTGTAAGAAGAAAAAAGGATTCAAATATAAATATGAGTGGGAAAGAAAACTTGTTTTGAGTCCATTTTATGCATTTGTTAACATTTTGAAGACTATGCAGTACAATTTATCATCTTAAAGTTATGAGGTGAAAGAAATTACTTGTATTTAAAATCACTGCAATTCTCGATTTGAAGCTCCATTGATAACATTTTTTGGGGAAAACAAATTACTTGAATAACTTTAAATTCAGTACATTATTATGCATATCACATAATTTCATTTAAAAATCTTTTTCCATAGAGTGAGATCAAAAGACCAGATTTCGATTGCCAATGTGGTGTGAAGTATAAAGCCAGTGTTCCATGTCCTAATTTGTTTCATAATATAAACATTCTTCAAAAGTTTATATTTTTTAATGTAAAGAATTTTTCATATAAACTTCCCTTCATTTGGTTCAGGTTTTAGTTATTGTACATGTTCATAAATTTTCATTTTATCAACTGTTTTAACTGATGTTTAAACTTCATTTTTTAAAAAAGATTTGAGATAGTATAATTTAAATTTTCTCTAAAAATAAATATATTCCTTATTTGCTTGCCAAATGGTGAATTTGTATGACTAAATGAGCAGTTCCTACCTTATTCAAGAATACTCATTCATAATGTATCGTCTCAAATGATAGGAAAATTTAAGTTTCATTCAACACAAAGACATGAATGATTTTTAATGCATTTTATTGTCTGCTAATGGTACTTTTTTAGTTACAGAATTTGCTAAGTAAAGTGATTATAAGCAAAAATCATTGTGTTCTTGTGTCATTCCTGAAAGCAACTGAAGTATTCATTCCCCTCTCATATTCTGATCTTTTAATCCTGAAAAAAATAGCAAAAGAACAGTTAAAATAATTTACAAATGTTCCTAGTGAGTACCATTTACTATAACATGTCTGGCTTCAGTTTTGTCAAAACAATGTACAACCATTTAAGCTGAACTCTATAATTTCCAAAGTTTCTTTGTTATTTCGTTGTCATTAGATATTAGGTGTCCATGAGGACTGCTTCCACCTTCAGGACACTTAAAGCCTATTATTTTATAATAAAATAACAATTGCTACCTTTTCGGGGAGTACTTCTTGCATGCCAGGCTCCAAGCTTATCATGCTATTTTGTTTTCCATAAAATTAACTCTAAGAAGCTATCAATGTTTATACTCAAATTTTACACAAAAAGAAACTGAGTTTTAAAGAGTTCAAACTGTCTTCCCAAAGTCACCTTTCCATAAATAGCTTTGTCAAGATGTGAGCACATTATAAACTTCATGGTGTTAATTATTAATAAAGAGATAAATAAATGCATTTTCTATGTACAGAGAAAACATGTGCCTTAGACTAAAATAGTCAATGATAGGCGCCAGATTACTTGGGATTCAATCAATTTTCAAAAAATTCTGCCCCATATTTTCCATAAACATGCTCACAATTATGAAGCCATTTATGACATATATTATGATTTTTTAAATTCAGAAACTATGATATTTATAATTGGATAGAGGCTTGAAAATAATCTGATTTTGTCATTTTCCCCCATTTAAAAGAAAATAAAACACCCATACATTTGAAGTGACTTTCACAATACTGCCTTCTCTTTGAGGGCAAAGCCACAACTGGAACCTTTGTGTCCTAGCTTCTTATCCTGGTCATTTCCACCTCACTTCTCTCTTCTCAGTGGCAAATCATCAATAACATGTATAAATTGGAATTACAGTTGGATACATATACATGATAGGATCACATAATCTCGTATACATAGAAGTAAGACTTTATGGAGGTAGATTAAGGTTGTTTTGTTGACTATTCCCATTCATTTGTAAGAGCTACCTGTAATGGAAGATTTCGTGCTAAATTGCAGTAACTTCTTGCTAAAAGCTTAATCATCTGTAGAATCCCAGTACAGAAAAGGAATCTAACAGTATGTTTAGTTTAGCCTCCTCCAAGTTAGATTGAAAACTACTGGAAATGGGGAATCTTCCTGTAGGTTTTTGAAGAGATTTCCTGTCTACCTTTTGTAACCTGTTCAGATATTTGCACTCTCAAAATTACCTGCTCCCTCTTTTCTTAAGCCTTCAGTGCAACTCTAGCCTATTCTTGCTAGTCAAACCTTGAAATATAAGGAAAACTGATATTCCCTTATACTGTTGCCTTTAACATTCATGGGGTTTAGTAATATATATTTCTATTAATGGGTTTTGGTAATATATATTCTGGTAGAAATTCAGTAATAGTAAAATTGAAACCTACCATAAAAACTGTGATCTTAATTACCAAGCCATTTAGATGAATTTGTTTTTAATATAAAGGTATAGCATATTGCTTGGACTAATAGAATTATAGACTTGTAACTACTACAACTCTAGACCCTTGGTTGTCAGAGACCTTAGAACTCTGGGACCTATTTTGCTGCACCATTTTAACAGGATTTGCATTGTAGTGGCTTCAAAATATACTCACCACTTCCTCCCGCTTGGTCTTGTCCGTTGATGGCCAAGCTTCCAGAGTCAGATCAGGAAGCATGGGAGGCAGGGGCTGCATGGGGAACATCGGAGGCAGAGGTGGCTGTGGCGGCAGGGGCTGCATGGGGTGCACAGGTGGCTGGGGCTGCATGGGCTGGTGAGGCTGTGGCTGAACAGGCTGGGGCTGGTAGGGCTGCTGGGCGGGCGGAGGGAGGTTTGGCTGGTGGTGTTGGGTTGGAGTCATGGAGTGTTGGCCAGGAACGGGCATCATTGGTTGCTGGGGGAGCACGGGCTGCTGAGCTGGCACCACTGGGATGTGGTGATGAGGCTGCAGGGTGTGAGTCGGGGGGTGCTGTTGGGACAGCACGGGGATGATTTGGTGGTGCAGCCATCCACCCATGGGCTCGTAACCATAGGAAGGGTACTGGTGAGAAACAGAGAGGCAGGTTTACCATTGGCTCAGGTGACTCCAACCAGAGAAGCAGCAGTGTTTTCTTTGCCATTATGGCTATAGGAGTATTTTATTCATTTTTCCTTTGCAAAAATTTGTAACTGTGTACACAGATATGATTTTTTACAAACTAAATTTCCCATTAATGTCTGTATGTGGAGTAGACATGATATTTCACTTAATATGGGAATTTTAATGCATGCCTAATATTTTCAGGGAATAAAGAACAAAATATCTACATACCGGTGGCCTTATGCTCTGGTACCACTTCAAAGGGGTAAGCACCTTAAGAGAAAAAGATATTAGAACCCATTTGATTTAATTTACTTTCATCCAATATAGAAACTCACTGATGCAGTATGAAATATAGACTCACTAATGCAGTCCTGTCAACATTGATAGCCTGAGAATGTGAGTTCTACAAAAGAAAGAAGAAGGTAAACATTTTTCGGGTGCTTCCTGTGTGTCAGGCACTGTGTTTACATCCATCACACACATTCTTCATCTTTTCTCATATGCTAGGAGGCAAGTATTATTACTCTCACTTTTTAGATAAGATCATGGGGAATTAAAGAGGTTCATTAACTTGACTGAGGTGACAAAAGGAGTAAATCTGTTTAATTCCATAATTCCTGCTTTTCATTGTAAGAGCAAAACAAACACAAAATTATGACATAATAATATGACATGATGTTAATTTCATTTTTTTCTTTGATGTCACAATGGGAAAAAGAGAGGTGCAAACACTGTCCCTCATCCTGGAAACACAGATTTACTCATCAGATGTGTCAATCTTTTAGGCTTAACAGAAAATCTTGCCTCAAATTCTTATTAACATTTGTCTTCAGCTTTTATAAGTAAATAAACTCACAGATTGTTACCTGAACCTGTGAGAAAAGTAAGAATTTTATTCCTTTCTGAACAGTATATATACTTCATTAGACTTAGGTTTGAGGATTCTTCGTACAGTAATATGACATTTAATTGATACAAAAAAATTAGTAAACTTGCTCATATTATACTTGACAAACTACTTTTCATATTCATTAAGTATATTATTCTCCAAACAATATTTTGATATATGGTTATTATAATTATTTCCTTTCTCCACATGAGGAAACCAGGGTTCCAGAAAGAGGAAATGATTTGCCCAAAGTCACACAGTTAGTAAGAGGTTGAGGAGAACCTCAAACCCAATGTCCAAAACTCATGCATTCCATTGTTCTGCAGAGTCTCTCCTATACCACTTAGTCACTAATATTTCAGCAGAGCCAAATGAGAGACACACATAGAGTGTGACTATCTTAGAATCAGGAGTTTTTGAGCTGGAAAGAGTCTTAAATAACATCTTACCTAATCCTTACATTTTACTAGCTGGGATAGAACCAAGCTGGTCAGAGTTGACTTTTTGCCCTATCATGGAGCCTCCCTGAGTGGTGGTTCATGATGGGTAAGCTTACGGCCATATTTAGGAGGAGAGACTGAGTCAGAGTGGCCAGGCAGGAGGCTGCTGGGACGACACAGGCTTGAGGCCAACCATCAGAGCTTAAACTGGGAAGCTGGTGGTAGGAACTGTAAAATCAGGACCACTTGAGAAACATCTGGGATAAAGAATCAACACACTATTCTTTACAGAGCCCAGGGCATTGTTAACGCAAACAATGGTCAAAATTAGTAAAGAGAAAAATTACCTCATAGCTGAAGTTGATATAACCAGGGTGCCCAGGATGAGGTGGTAGCTTTTATAGGGAGGAGAGGAGGAGAATAGAAAGAGAGAGGAAAGGAGAGAGTGAAGGAAGAGAAGAGAGAGGAAGAGATTAAGTCAGTATGCAATTGTTCACATTAAAGGAGACTGAAGCTACTTTTAAAAAATCTATATAGTACAGAATATACTTGAGGTCTGTTTTTAGTTTGAACAAATGTGCTGTGTAGAAGAGGAGACCTCTTATTTTAAAGAGGTCCAAAACAGCTATATGACTGTTCCTGGGGTTATAGTCTTATGGTTGGAGACCTGGAAGCAGAAACCAGCACACATTTATTCTCCAGTGATCTTTGGACAACGTCCCACCCCCACGCCCAGTGTTTTCGATGAATCCTACCCTATCCTGCCCAACAGTTTACTTGCTGATAAAACTCATCCCATATTGGGGAGAGAAGTGTGATTCTTTTACACAATAAAGAAATATCAACAAGGAGAGAATTGTCTCACAAATGTTCCCTTGTAGATCAGGAGTTGGTCAAGTACTTTACGTATCAAAGGGATTTCTCATAATTGACATGCAAAGTAAACAACACATCCATACAACAAAAGAAGCCACAAAAGAAACCACAAGGTGGGAATTATTGACAAATGCCAGAACAAGATGGGTGGAGCAAAGTGGAAACATTATAAATCGCATGGAAAATGAAAGAGTTCATTTATGATGTTTAAGCCAATCTTTTTTTATTATTCTGCCAATGGTTTTATGGCAGAAAAATTTTAAAGTTAAAAATAAAAGGCCACCTGAATGATGATCTGAATCAGGACTGTCTATCCTCTCAAAAGTGGGGGCCAAGTGTCTGGTGCCTGTATTGTGGAACTCTGGTTGTTCCTGGGGTCCAGGGAGGAGAGACAGTCATGCAGAAAATCTCCCTCAGACATTGGCCTCATTTAGGATTGGCTCTATTATATTCTTTAAAAATGCTCACATTTCATAGGAAGGTTTATTCACTCTCATCTGGATGTGAATGGTTTTAGTCAGGTTGTATGCCCTCTTGATCAATACCAGCTTAGAGAGTGGGAAAAGGGCTGAATTTGTAAGGCAGGGACCCCTGAAGAAACTAGGAATCGCTACAATTCAGGATTTCAGGAAGTCAGAGCACAGAATCTTGGTTTTCTGGGTGAGAGAGGAAGAGAGGAGGCAGGCGTGCAAGCTTGCTGGCTTCTGGTTGTATCAACTGCTCTTTATTCCACCAAAAAGCAGATGCAGCCTGCTTGGCATGCATGTGATCTAAGTTCTCTGTCCTTATGCACCTGTGTCCAGACAGAGTGGGTCTAATGTCCTGATCTTTAATACATTTGAATATAAAATATATCACTATGTATTGGGTGTAGGCAGGATCCCAGGCAACCACAAAAAAAGCCATGTACTTATCAGATGTACCCAAAGAGGTGGGGCCTCTGAGAACAGGAAGATGGCTCAAAAAGTGGATTCCTAGCACAAAAGTCTTACCCCTTGAGGGGTAACAGCAGCAATATATGGAGGGCAGGAAGAGATTTGGAAACTTGAGAGGAATTGGGTTTTAGACAAAACTGGCATCTCTGTAATATTTGTCCAAAGCTGGTTAAGCACTTTCTGTGGAGACCTTTCAAGGGTCCCTTCCAAAAGCTTCCTCCATCTAGATGGGTGGTGATATTTACAAGCTAACAGTTCCAACAGAATCTCCTGGGGTGCTTATAAAAATGCGGAGTCCTGGGCCCCAGCCCAGCTGTACCATATCAGAATTTTTGGTAGAGGCATTTGAGAATCTGTCTTTTTAAAACAAGCTCCTGAAGTGTTTCTTCAACCCGGAGACGTATGAAGACATCTGATCTCATACTGTTTTAAACCCTAATTTCACCAACTGTGGGCAGATTTTTATTTTCAAGCTTGTGAAATTGGACAGACTTATGCAAGGGGTGTTTTACTCACAGGCATGGCAAAAGCTGCTCCCAGGAGGCAGGCAAATAAAATCCAGGTCCCCATTTCTTGATGGTTCTGAAATGTAAATCAACATCCACTTTTCTTATCTCTTCTGAAACATGGATGTAATGAATGCTCCATAAAACACATGTAATCTACATTAGTCTATTGCTAGTAAGAAGGATGGAGCCATTCTTTGTGAATTTACTTCAGTCATATGTGATTTCCAGCTCTCAGCCTGTTTCATTGTTTGTAGAGTCACAATAGTGACAAAGATGCATTTAATTTAGGTTGAGGGCTGAACAAGTTACAGGGACATGAATGATCTATCCTCATATGACTTTGCATGCCATTTTCCTATGCCCATACAGCCCATAGTCATAGAAGCTAAATGATATTTATAATTAATGATTAACAGAATAAAGTTGGCTCTAAAGGTTGGGAAGATCATCAAAGTGCACAGTATTTTATAATTTTAGAACAAGGAGGCACAGAAATGTCTCCTGCACAGTCTACCTGGGTACTGCTACTGTTAAAAGCAAGGACTAATCATTTGAGAAAATATGTTAATTTTCCAAGATAGTAGATTTTAGTTCCAGAAGTTCCTATCTATAGAACTTCAGGCAAGACCCTCCAGTAACATATCTGAGCTCCAGATTGTGGAGCAAAAGATGTGGCTGAACTAACAGGAGAGGATAGTACTAATTTTATGTGATTTTTCAATGAATTTTGAATACTTTCTGCCTCAGAGGTTTCATTTTCTTTCAATGGAATCTTCGTTTTGTTTGATGTTTCTCTGTAATTATTCTATAAATAAGACTCTTGGGACATTAATCAAAACAGGTCATTCTAAAATGTGCACATTGATTTGTGGCACAAATTATTGACTAACTTGGAAAACTGTCAGAAGAAAGACCTTAAATTTTGTATAGGAAGTGAATATTACATGTAATTATGCTGCCTATGAAAAGTACACTGATTTTCTAACTCCTAAATTTGTTGTTTTTTCTTTGTTTGTCTGGGTTAATGAGAAAAATCACTTCATTGATGGTTCTATTTTATGTAATTAAATAAAAAGCTTTTCAAAGTAGTAGATCACAGCCTGTGAAAGTATTATTTTTACTTTAAGTGATAATTAACTAAAATAAATATTTTACTGTGAAATGTGGCCCAAGAAAGAGCTTTGGAATTAAACAAGCACTTTGTTGCATTATAAAGTTAAAAAAAAAAAATCATTTCGGTAATCAGAGTCTAATTTAATTATGGGCCAACTAAAAAGTAACTATTGATGGCATATAGTATTAGAAATGTAGAATACATTTGTATCTTTTAAAAGAAATTCAGAGAAAGAAATAAGCACAATAAAAAGGATATCAAATTATAAATAAAATCCACATACCTTTGAATGTATTCAGTGCAAGTTTCTGTTTGAAACTCAGGGATGCTTGATCCTTTAGATTTCTTCCAACTACGAGCTCAATTTATATCATTCATGGCATCTATAACAACCAATCCGGTTTCTAAAGGAAAAATGTGTTGAGTATAACTAAAAATCCCTGTATCATGATTTTTTAGAAGCTATGATCAGACATAAGGCTGTATGTTGTGATTAGTGCATATGGAATCTTTCATTATGGGCAATAATAGGTTTAACAGGCAAAGAGTTTCATCAGGCTATTTTGAAGTCAGCAAATTAGTTGACTGCACATGTTGATATATTCAGATTTATTTTTAAGAAGCTCCTCTGCCGTCGTCTTTTCCTCGGTTCTAGCAAACAACATTGTTCTTTACAAAAATCAAGCTAGGTGGTTGAGATTCTCTAGTGTAATCTGGATATCCTCCAGGATTTTTGCAGCCCTTTCAGATCAGGAGAAATTGATTCAAATTCCCATTTGGGTAAAAACCCAAAGCTCTCTCTAGTATCTCTCTGAGGAATTACAATTTTGGGATCACCACTGCTCTACTTTCTGCTTCCATTGAAGGTATTTTTCTCTGTTCCCTGTGGCTGCTCCTTTATCACCACTCTGGTGTCCACCAAAACAGGGGACAAAGCCCCTTCTCGTCCCCATCCTGAAACCGATCTACCATAAAAACAATCAGGAACTTAAGGTTCTTGCAGTAGCAAAACTTTTACTGATGATCTATACTACAAGGCAAGGAGTGCATACCAGACAGCACATTTAAAAATAAATTTTGTTTTTTACAAACAAACTCATGTCACAGGGGATGTTGTCCTTTCCCTCCCATCTCACAGAGCAACTTGGCCTCTCAGTATGGCCTCCCTTCTTTGCCCACATCCTTCTGGCCCAATCCCACTTTCTCATACAGGCAAACCCAAATTCCTCTCTATTTTCCAGAGCCTCTTAACTGTCTGGCTAGCTACTTTGTTTCCATGTTCTCAGCAGCCTCTCCTTTCCCTAAGCAATAACCAAAGCTATTCACTTTCTAAAAGAAACTCTGATCATATACCTATTAAATTCATGTGTGGTTTACCCCTCTACCTTGGTATAACACATGGGTTTTTTTCTTTTATTCTGGAATTTGATTAGATTGATCTAATTGAGCAAATTTGTAATTAGTGACAGGAGCTAACTGACGAGTGGTCCATCAATATTAGATCAACAAAGGAGGTACTGAATATCTACCCAGATACAGTTGATGCTATACCTGGATCTCTTTGAATACTCAAGTAATATTTATAAAGTTTGTACATATACATATATGTTTATATGTATATATACAAATTACTTAGCCTGTCTGAGCCTCAATTTCCTGATATGTAGAATGGGAATAATAACAGAACCTAGCTCAGGGAATTAGTGTGAAAAGTAGATGACCGACATCTCTGGGGAAATGGAAGACTATTTATTACTCTCCCCAACCCTGTCAGCTGGCATACAGTAAATGTTAAAAGAATGCTAATAAACAAGATTCCAAGATGATCTTTGGGGATAAATCAGTAGGGATGAACATTGCAAAGAAAGGTAAGACCTTCCAATCAGGGAGAGAGAGATTGCAAAGAAGGAAGTGGAAGATTGTAACAGGTAAAATGTATACATGAAAAGAAACATAGAATATGATTCTAAAAGCCACATGTCCTCAGGATTTGCATTTATTTATGAATATATTTATTGGTGAATTTTTTATCAGAGACAAGAAGGATTCCCTTTGAAAGAAGTCGGAAAATGGACCTTAGGAGGATTGGCAGGGGTGTACAGCAAGGTGGTAAGGGAGAGGAAGGAAAATGTGGGTCACATTATGTTCACTTTCAATCTTTTTCCCCCATTTTATATAATTACATATACTGGAGTGCCTGAAAGGACTCAGGATATTTTTTTTCTACAAAGTTGTGGGTAATCTCTACTAATGAAGGCAATGATGAATTACTAGTGGCCTTGTAGTTTTAGAAAGATTGATGTTAACACTTTTTCTCACCTTTTAAGAATGAAAGGATGATATATTTGGCCATAATGATCAACAGGATGCTTCCTTAATGTGGCGTTAATTCCTCTGGACCACTGAATAGTGAGTTACCACTAATTCCCCATGGACAGTTGAACAAGCTTTGATGGCCGATTCCATAGAAATAATTGATTTTCCCCTACTGCATATCCTGAGTCATAGGACAGTAAAATAATGGATCTGTGTTTGAAATCTCTTCCACTAATTTAGGCCCCACTTACACAGCTTAAAAATTGCTGAATGTTTTTGAGGAAAATGAAATTTCAATTGAAATATTTTTCCTATAAGTAATTATTTTATTTATGAATAAATTGACTGCATAAAATAGTTCTTTTGCTCATGTTTTGTAGTAGGTATTCTTTTTCTTGACTCGCAGCCCAGTACATTTTGCTGTTCTCACAATGCTTATGCTAGCAACTTCCCCGCTTCTAATTTGCTGCTTCTAATTTATAGTATGCTAGAAAGTCATATGCCCAAACTTGTTAAAGCATGGATGAACTGAAAGTAAAGGAACACTCTAAGTGGGGCTGGCCTGGGAGGGCCTCACCTGTGAGAAAACCAAATGAATTTCGGTTTTGTGACACTTATTTTTGACTGCTGGGAGGGTGTTTGTTTTGTTTTGGAGTTCCTCTCCACTGGCTTACTGCCTGGGTTTCAACAGCACTTGGGGTATGAGGGTGGTCTTTGGATAAGTCAGGTATTATGAGTTTGAAAAGCCTTTCCTATCATCTATAAGAGTTCAACTCTTGAGTCTTCTTTTAAAGCATCCCCAGGGTTGTCCAATATTCTAGAATAATTTCAACAGTGAGTCTTCTTAAGTAGCTGGAGCCAAAGTTGGCTTTTAAATATTTTCTCTGTAGATGTTTACTTATAAGAAAACATCATTCTCTAGGATATTTGTTTTTTTTTGCTGGGGTAGAGTTGGAGTTTTATGATCTTCAGATCTTAGGCAAAAAAACCACTGATGAATCCCAATATACATTGTAACTTTGACTCCTTTGCAACCCTTAGAAATCACATATTGTGTCTTATACTTTCTTGGGTGCTCCTTGGTACCTAGAAAAAGCTCTTATACAAAGTAGGTGCTAGATAAATGTGTTGATTAATTAATGAAAATGTAGAAAAGTGTTCCATGACATTGTAAATATAGAAAATGTGGATTCTGAAAGAAATCCTACAGTGATTTAGATGGACCTTTTTAATAGCTAAGATGGATAATTCAGCATCGCTGTCAACTGCTCCTGTGGATTTTTGTGCAAATGACCTCTGATAAGTACCTGAAAAGGGAGACGCTGTAAAAGTGCTAGGATCTATCATCCTAACATTCTCATTACATTTGGCTCTGACCCTCTTAGTTCAAATTATAATATACTCCAAGCAAATACACTATGATAGATAAATTTGTGGGGTTTTTTTTCTTTTTTCTTTTCTTTTCTTTCTTTTTGTGTCTATCCAAATCCTTCACATCTCAGCTCACTGCAATCTCTGCCTCCCGGGTTCAAGTGATTCTCCTGCCTCAGCCTCCTGAGTAGCTGGCATTACAGGCACATGCCACCATGCCCAGCTACTTTTTATATTTATATTTTTAGTAGAGACAGGGTTTCACCATGTTGGCCAGGATGGTCTCGATCTCCTGACCTCATAATCTGCCTGCCTCGGCCTCCCAAAGTGCTGGGATTACAGGCACGAGCCACTGCGCTTGGCCTATGAAGTAACATTTAAAACAAAATGTCTACCAATAGTGGGGCTGGTTCAAATTGATTATGGCACAAATAGCATTCAAGATGAGGATGACACTCTGTCAACATAAAAAGATGTTGGTGACACATTGTTAAGTGGAAAAATAGGTTTTTTAAAGTCCCCTTCTCTAATTTTTTTCTCCCTCCCTCCCTGCTCTCCCTTTTCTCCATTTGGGGAGCTATTCATCAAAAGACTAACAGTAGTTATCTAGGGACTCCTTGAAAATCTCTGGGTAGCCAAGGTTTAAATTTATTTCTTTTAAATAATCTGTGAATGCAACAAATGCAGGGGAAATATAAGAAGTTTGGAGTATGATATTTCTCATTCATGTTCAGCAAGAGAGATGAGTAAGTGATAGTGCTACTTGCATAGGCTCTGGGTATATCCAATGTTCATTCTTAGGGGGAAAAAAGGTTGAACGTAAAATCCAAGACAAAAAAAAAAAAAAAGATTTTTTAAAGTGAGAGAGCCCTTTTAAATCATGAGTAGGAAATATTTTAATAATATAAACATTCACAGTAAGAGTTCATACAACTTGTAATTTGAAAATTCCATAGGTATTTGCTAAATATCAGGTGGAACAATTTTCAACAAGGGAAATTATATGCAGTTGAAAAGTGTGTTGTTTGGATTATAATTAACTGGTAACTGTCAGGAGTGAAAATGGTACATCTGTGTTAAAAGAGGTAGGACAGTAATGTAAAAACAAGCATTTTTATTCCTGTTTATTGGGTAAAATACACCAAAGTAAATTCAACTTTCCTGCTGAGGTTCAGTGGAGACATACACAGATTAGTAGTTTTTAAAAATATTGTTCAATCATAAAATGGAATGAAGCACTGATCCATACAACAACATGGATGAACCTTGAAAACATTACATTCAGTGAAGGAAGCCAGTCATAAAATACCATATACTGTATGATTCTATAGGAAATGCCAAGAATAGGCAAAATCCATAGAAACAGAAAGTAGATTCATGGTTGCCAGGGGTAGGGAAGCGGGAAATGGGGAGTTACTGCTAATGAGCACCAGCTTTCTTTTTGTGATGATAGAAATGTTCTGGAGTTAGATAGTGGTGGTGGTTGCACAATCTTGTCAATGTACTAAAAGTCACTTAATTGTACACTTTAAAGTGGTGACTCTTATGGTATGTGAACTATATCTTAATTTTTTAAAAGACACATATTAACAAATATATATGGTATGGTATCAGCCCTCAAAACATTTACAGCCTTTATACATTATGTAAAATACAGATACATAAAAGGCTAAACACAGTGTATTGTTACAGAACAATAGTGTAAGGGTTGTCCCAT